TTGCAGAGACAGGAGAAGCCCAAGGACTGAGCCTGTTGCTTTGAACTAGAAGCCCTAGGGCCTCTGGGTTTTACATGGCTCTTTAATATGCTCAAAGTTTAGAGTCAGTGTGATAACCCATGACAATGATACCTAGACTGGTGCAATGTCCTGTGATTTATAGTGATGTTTTCAGTTGGTCCTTACAACCCTGGAGTTGCAGGGGAGTTTGGAATGAATGAAGCTGGAGAAGATATCTGACAGTCTTCACTGCATAGGAAACACTTGATCACAAGGGCAACAAGAGCCTCTACTATTTGTCAGAAAGCTAATGGAGAGGTAGTCCAGGCTGGGATAAGGCTCAGGTTAGGGCTTGGAGGAGGAAACAGGTGAGAGGCTACAGGAACAGCAATGTCTGCTAAGCTGTTGATCACAGCCAGAGTTGGTAGTAGGGGGAGATGAGAAATGAGCTATGTGGGCAGCCAGTGATGAGTTTGAAGAGTCTATAAGGTGATGTAAGCTATCAGTTCCGGAAGAAATTTGTGGTAAAGTCCTGCTGATGAGGATAAGTTTGAAGCCAGAAAATAACATTGTCAGCAGTGTCACCGGCACATACAAAGGACAGTGATAGATTGCACAGCTCCGCTCTCACATTTCTGGGCTAATGGAAGCCACAGCTTGCCCGTTAGTTTTAACTTCCTTCCCCAAAGACTTTCCACTAGAACTTGCAAAATGTACATTTCACCTCTTTGCCCTTCCCTCTCCAGCCTGCTAGCAGAGATGAATAGGGCTGAAGAGGCAAGTCCCTGGAGAGAAAGGAAGAGATGAGAGAGACCCCCAAGTTGTGTAATCGGCTTCATCCCACTGGAAACTGGGCCGTTTCACAAGGTGCCTCTCTTTTTTTTTCCAAGAGAAATCATTTATTGATTACACATGATAATGGATGATATACAAGTTTCATTCCCATCTGTAATTTTATCTGGTACCATTATTCAATTTAGATATATTGCATAGGATGTGCCAACAATCATTTTTATAACCTATAATTCCATGATTTTGCTTGGGTAATCCCTTTTAATGGTGAACTTCAGGTCACAACAGTTTGTAACTATTAGTTCAACTACACCAAGGTTTCTGAAGACAATGGCTTCTCCACCCAAGCAGGTTATATATAAATTCCAAATACAACCTGGCATCACCCTGAAGGAATTCTAACTTTACACTGTTGGGGAAATTTACCAAGATGGCTTCAGAGCTGCTACAAAGAAGATATATTTTAGACAAGTACTCGTGTATGGGCAAAAAACTCAAGGACTGTATTTGTGACTAATTGTATAACAAGTTATTTTAGTTTCTGTTCTGTGGAAAGTGTAAAGCATTCCAACAAAGGATTTTATTGTAGGATTTTTTTTGCACCCATGCTATTGAAGGTGCCACTGTTAATCTAGTTTTTAGATGGAGCATAGGTCAGGGGCAGGCATTAGGTTCACTGTTTGAGGGGTTTCCTTAAGACAGTGGCGTCTGTGCTTTCTCCATTGCCTCCCCTCCGGCACAGGGAAATCACACAGCAAAAGTATACCAGGCTCTGGGGAAGGGCCCCAGATCTCACTGGTCTACAGCCATGCTGAGCAGGTCTTTCCCATGGGCCTCTAAGGTGCACCTTGTGAAGGCAGAAGTAGGTTTTGCTCTGCTGAGCAGAGGTATTCTATTTGCTCCATGAGGTTTACACTGGTGTTTTTTTCTTTCTCTCTTCTGCTCCTCCCTGGAGAATTAGCTAGAACAAGTGCCTTTTTCTCCTTGCTGATTCCTTGCAGCAACCAACACCATTCAAAATCTCTCAGAATTTGCTAAGCGTATTTGTAATACCCTTAACTGTGGCTGAACTTTCAGCTTTACCTGTGCCTGGTCTCTGTCTCTGAGTCTCAGTTTGTCCCTGTCTGTGTCTGTCGCTCCGTTTCTGTCACTGTCCCTCTTTCTCCGTCTCTGCTTTTCTGTTTCTTCCTCTTTCTCTCTCTCTGTCTCTGCCTCTGTCTCCCTCTCTATCTCTGTCTCTGTTTCTGTCTCCTTCCTGCTCTCTCTTTCCCATACATCTGATCAGCGGCACCAGGGCTCTTGCCAGCCTCTGCCTTTAGGAAAGGAGCCTGAGTCCTATCATCCTGTGCTCAGCCACTGGACATGATGCTTACTCCCCCATGAAGCACAAAAAGCTTCCAAATCCACCTGGTCCCCTCAATAAAAATACCCCATGCATGCTTTCCTCTGGCCAGAGGGAGCCACGTCAGTGCAGAGGCCCCTTCCATCTTCCGGGCAAGCCCCTGAACAGGTGAACCATCACTCATTTATGAAAATGAAAGATTCATGAGGAACTCCTCTGGGTTGCCAGCAGAGTTTATGCAGGTTTTGATCTGACTTTAATTTAATTAAGCTGTGTTTATTTAATCAGCCTAGAGATATGTATCCTCAGGCAGGAATTTGATGACTGCTTCTGAATCGTGTTTTTGTCTGTGGGAGGAGGGCTCTGACCTACTTGGTATTTTTAAAGGATTGTGGACCCAAGAGGCAGGCTAGCATCAAGGCTCAGACTGGGCCCTGCAGGGACACTGCATTCAGCAGCTGTACATGTGATTGTGAGTGCCTGTGTGAGTGTGTGTGGGTATGTGTGATTGTGTGTACCTGTGTGAGTGTATGTGTGTGCCTGTGTGAGTGTGTGTGCCTGTTAGTGTATGTGTGTGCCTGTGTTAGTGTGTGTGTGTACATGTATGAATGTGTGTGCCTGTATGAGTGTGTGTGTACATGTATGAATGTGTATGCCTGTGTTAGTGTGTGTGTGTACATGTTTGAATGTGTGTGCCTGTGTGAATGTGGACACATAAATGTGCAGGTGCAAGTATGTGTGTGTGCATGTGTCCAGGTACCCAGGGGTGAGCGTGTATGGGCAGAGCTCCTTTTGCTCAGTGCCCCAGGACCTTGGGGCAGTACTACTGTCAGAGAAGCCAGACCTGCCAGTAGTCTGTGTTCTCAGCCACCACAGGAGAAAAGCATTAGAGAAACAAGGTCATACTGAGGCTTGAGGACAGTGTTGTTCAAATTGTGCTCCATAAATCTCCATGGGTGCTGGTTAAGCATGCTGATGCCCAGGTCCCACACCAAAGCTTGCTGAATCACACTGTAAATAACCTCAGGAGTGTTTGCATTTTAAGGGTGGAGATGGGGCAGGCAGAGGACAGTAACTGAGACCAATTTAGTGGGAATCATGATGCTGGTAGTGGCCATTGGTGTCTAAGCCCCACACCCATGTCTGGGCGGTGCTCAGCAGAGTCACTTATGGGTGGGGCTGAGCCAGGGTCCAGGCAAGAAAGTGGTGCATTATCAGCTTAATATTTTTCAGAGGGGCAGTGTAAGAGGGAAGGGGTTCCTTGTGGTCTGAGGAGCAAGGCCAATGATCTGCTGGGAAGAAAGCCGGCTAGGATCCTACAGGAGAAGCCCTGAAGAACAACCTCAGGCTGTTCCGAGAGTGGCCAGAGATGGCAGAATAGACCGACTGGCCAAGTAGCGCAATTCTGGAGCTAATTCACAGAGCACAGCTGGTCTGCTGTTACAGCCTGTATGTGACACAGGAGGGACTGTGATCCTCAGGGTCTAACCCAGGCTAGACTGTGGCAAGCAGAGGGAGAGAACAGATGTTAGAGATCCTTCAAAGGAAGAATGACAGGGTTTGGTGACTTTATAAAGAAAATAGGAAAGGAAAAAGAGGGAACTTCCAAGTTCAGGAAAATATAGTTATATTTGGTTCTAGCACTGTGGGAATCAGTTTTGGAAAGCTGGTGACATTTGGAAATACCTGGCCACCCCCTTTCTGAGCTCTCTGACTCCTCTGCTTTTTCAGCTTTGCTCCTGTCTCCTTAAGAGAGCACATCCATTAATACAGTTAGAAAAACAGAGACTATCCTGTTTATGCTGTTGATTTCAGTTCTTATCTTTCAGTAGGAGAGCAGTTCTATATGTCTCTAAATGTCTCTGGGTTAACTTCACCTTGATAGTTCTTCATAATCTCAAACCTAACATGATGCAAACCACATCACATCAAGTTTCTTGTAGCTTGGGAAAGCTCTGTGGTCAGGTCTTCTTCAGTATCTGAGGTCCATGAGCTGATGGGGTTCATGAAGGGCTGGGAATGAACAGGAACCCAAGGGACAACTGCAGCTAATTTTTAGGGTCCAGGGGAGGAACCTTGAAAAGATTCGACAGATCTAGGCCTCTTCTTATCACATAGATTATGTTCGATGTAAGTGATGATACAAATAAGCAATAATACTGTGATGTGTGTTAGAAACAAATAAGAAACTCTTTTCCAGAATTAATCATACTGAAAAAATAAATGAGCCCCCATTTTCAACGAGCATCAGTTGACAATTGTGGCAGACAGCTTCCAAGACGATCTGCAGAATCCTGGCCTCCTGGTACTGATACTCCTGTGGAGTTCCCTCCCACATTAAACGGGGCTGAAGATATTGCAGAAATGGTGGTATGTGACTTCTGAGCCTGGGTCGTAAAAGACACTGTGGCTTCTGCCTTGCTCTTTTAGATCACTCACTCTAGGAGAGATCTTGGGAGGAGAAGTCATAAGGACAGTCAATCAGGTCTTTGAAGAGGTCCACATGGTGGGAAACTGAGGCCTCGTGCCAACAACCATGTGAGTGAATCATCTTGGAGGTAGATCCTCCAGCCCCTGCAAAACCTTCAGATGGCCACAGGTCTGGCTGACATTTTGACTTCAGTGTTATGAAAAATCTTGAGGCAGAAGCACCCAGCTAAGCCAATCCTATATTCCTACAGAAACTATGAGGTACTAATACATGCTTCCTGTTTTAAGCTGCTAAGTTTTAGAGTAATTCATTATGCAAAAGTGGTTAACAAATAAAACAATATTAACGATAACCTGTTATACACCAATGAAATATGCTATCCAGAAAAAAGTCAGAAAGTGTTCATGTATGCACTGCATTGTTATGTTTCTTTATAGAACAAAACGAATCCTGTGTTTTTTGGATCCTTTTCTCAAGTCAGTGCCAGTGATGCAGGGCTGGTGAGTCCTAAAACTGGGGCTCAGCCTGGGAGGGTTCTTGGCTTCACCCAGGAAAGTATTCAAGGGTGGGCCAGTGGTGCCAGATAGCAACTTTTATTGAAAAGGCCACATACAGCAGCAGCAGAGGCCCTATTCCTTGTGGAGCAGGGATACCCCCTTGGCAGTGTGCCCAGAGTAGCAGTTCAGAGGCAGTTCTTCAGTCATATTTATACCTACTTTTAATTACATGCAAATTAAGGCATGAGTTATTCAGAAATTTCTAGAAAAAGGGTGGTAACTTCCAGGTCATTGCCATGAAAAGGGGCGGCAACTTCTGAGTATTGCCATGGCAATGGTAAACTGACATGGCACTGGTAAGCATGAATTATGGAGAGGTGCTTTTGCCTCTTTGCTATTTCAGTTAGTTTTCAATCTGGTCTGAGTTCAAGCCCTGCCTCTGGAGTCATGCCCCACCTTGTACCTCACCAGCACCTTCCCTCTCCTCCTGACTAGTGTGAGGACAGCTCATTTCAGAGTCAACACTGCTGGGAGGGCAGAGAAAATGTGCCAGATTTACTATTTATTGTTTTTTTAATACAAGGTAGCTAAATGCTTTCATTCTACCATGTCCCCCAGCCAAACTCCTCCTTAGATCTGAGAAGGAGTCAATTAGGATTCATCTATGGACCAAGAAGTTTAGTCCATTTTTTTTTTTTTTTGGCCTTCTTTTGCAGAATAACTCTGACATTAATGATTAATGGGGAGGAATAGCAGAAAGTGTGCTAGAACCTGTTAACACACTTTCTGCTAGCATATCTGTCATTTTAAATAAAAAACACATTGTTTTATACTTAACATTTTTACTTATATTAGTTCTATAATTCCTCCCCAAGACATTATGAAGCAGGTATAATTAATTCTATTTTTTTTTTTTTTGGATGAGGAAACTGAAGGTCATAGTGTCATGGGGATTAGCCTAGGACAGAACTTGAACACAGTTTAATTTAATATTTTTTCCTCTAAAACTACGCTGTGCAAAATGAGAGTCACTAGGCACATGTAGCTAGTAAGCATATGAACTTACAGCACACTTAAGCACTTGAACTTACATGTAGCTCATAAGCACTTGAATTTATATGTGGCTAGTAAGCACTGGAAATGTACTGAACTGAGATGTGCTATAAGTATAAAATCCACATGGGATTTCAAAGAGAGTATGAGAAAAATAATGTAAAATATTTTGTTAAGTTTTACACTGATTACACATTGAAATGATATTTCGAATGTATTTATAGTCTTAAAATTGATTTTATCAGTTTCTTTTTACTTAAATTTTTAAAAATTGTAAATTATTATGAATACACGACAGTTCTTTTTACTTTTTTTTTTTGAAATGGAGTCTTTCTCTGTCACCCAGGCTCGAGTGTAATGGCATGGTCTTGGCTCACTGCAAACTCCACCCCTGGGTTTCAATCGATTCTCTTGCCTCAGCCTCCCGAGTAGCTGTGATTACAGGCACCTGCCACCATGCCTGGCTAATGTGTTTTTGTATTTTTAGTTTCACCATGTTGGCCAAGCTGGCCTCAAACTCCTGTCCTCGTGATCTGCCTGCCTTGGTCTCCCAAAGTGCTGGGATTACAGGTGTGAGTCACTGTAGCTGGCTGGTTCTTTTTACTTTTAAATGTGATATGGTTACTATAAAATGTGAAGTCATATGTATGGCTTGCATTTGTGGCCCAGGTTATATTTCTACTGGACAGAATTGCTCTAACCAAGGCTGATATTTTCAGACTCACAGCCTCAAGTTACCCCCAAGACAGCCCTCATATCACTTCAGGGACCCTAGAAGGGAAGATAAAAATAAATTGCATAATTGATAACTCCCTGTTTTGGTATTTCAACATGACAGGGAAGAAATTGAGCACCCTGGTGGTGCTGGGGCCGAAGGATCAGATGCTCTCCAATATCCTGGTGATATTGGATCCTTTGAAGTATAATCTTGTGTCAAAAGGCCTTCCCAAACTTATTCAGGTGTACAAAGCACTAAAGAAAAGTTCAGATCCCTGAGCCAGAAAACTTCATTTTCCACATTAAGATCAAGGGAGTATGTGGGAAAGATGTGGCACCCCCAGTACTGGGCAGTCTGTTATAACAGGGTCAGAGAAAGGGCCAGAAAGGGGTGGGAAAAGCAAAAGACTGCCCAGAGAGTCAGTCAGTGAAAACAAGTGACTCGTGTATACTTTCTTTTTTTTTTTTTGAGACGGAATTTCGCTCTTGTTACCCAGGCTGGAGTGCAATGGCGTGATCTCGGCTCACCGCAACCTCTGCCTCCTGAGTGCAGGCAATTCTCCTGCCTCAGCCTCCTGAGTAGCTGGGATTACAGGCACGCACCACCATGCCCAGCTAATTTTTTGTATTTTTAGTAGAGACGGGGTTTCACCATGTTGACCAGAATGGTCTCGATCTCTTGACCTCGTGATCCACCCGCCTCGGCCTCCCAAAGTGCTGGGATTACAGGCTTGAGCCACCGTGCCCTGCTACTTTCATGTATTCATTCATGTAGCCACTTATTGTCTGTTACTTATTGCCTAATGTGTCCTTATTAACTAGAGGCACTCCTCCAAATTCTAGGGATACAGTGGTGATCAAGGAACAGGGTTTCTGCCCTCTTAGAATTTGTTTTTTAGAGGCCATAGAGAATAATATACAATGAATATAATGACACAGCAAGTAAATATGATAAGTTCAGATTCTACTAGTTAGATAATAGGTTGGCTGCTATAGCACAGAGACCCAAATAGCAATGGCTTAAGCAAGTGAGAACTTCATTTCTTTCTCATGTATAGTAACAGTCTGCGAGTGAGCAGTCTAGGGTGGGATTAGCACTTTTTGGTGTCAGAGACCCAGGTTCCTTCTATCTTGATGTACTTCCTTCCTTCTATCTTACAGTACTGGATCTGTGGTCACCTACAAGTTTTCAGATGGATCAACATCTCCTCAGGCAAGCAGGAAGGGAAAGAGAATGTGAAGGCCACTCCTCTTCTTTTAAAGGATATGACCTTGAAGTTATATTAAAGGATATAACCTTGAAGTTGACCTTGAATTGGTTATTTTGCCCATTAGTTGATACAGTTTCTTCATAGTGTTGATGGTCTTCACAATTTGTTATGTTTTTGCAATGGCTGGTACATCACAATGATGGGATCACATTCACACATAACAGTATTAACCTTAAATTTAGATGGGCTAAATGACCCAGTTAAAAGACACAGACTGGCAAATTGGATAAAGAGTCAGGACCTGTTGGTGTGCTATATTCAGGAGTCCCACATAGGCTCAAAATAAAGAGATGGAGGAATATTTACAAAGCCAAAAAAAAAAGCTGGGGTTGCGTTTCTAGTCTCTGATAAAACAGACTTTAAACCAACAAAGATCAAAAAAGACAAAGAAAGGCATTACATAATGGTAAAGGGATCAGTGCAATAAGAAGAGCTAACTATCCTAAACATATATGCACCCAATACAGGAGCATCCAGATTCATAACGCAAGTTCTTGGGGACCCACAAAGAGACTTAGACTCTCACAGAATAATAGTGGGAGACTTCAACACCCCACCGTTAATATTAGATCAATGAGACAGAAAATTAACAAGGTTGTTTAGTACTTGAACTCAGCTCTGGACCAAGTGGACCCAATAGACATCTACAGAACTCTCCACCCCAAGTCAAAAGAATACACCTTTTTTTCAGCACCACATTGCACTTATTGTAAAATTGACCACATAATTGGAAGTAAAACACTCCTCAGCAAATGCAAAAAGTGGAAATCATCACAGTCTCTCAGACCACAGGGCAATCAAATTCGAATTTAGGATTAAGAAACTCACTCAAATCCCTACAGCTACATGGAAACTGAATTTAGGATGAAAAAACTCACTCAAAACTCACACAGCTACATGGAAACTGAACAACCTGCTCCTGAATGACTACTGGGTAAATAAAAAAAATTAAGGCAGAAATAAATAAGTTATTTGAAATCAATGAGAAGAAATACACAATGTACCAGAATCTCTAAGACACAGCTAAAGCAGTGTTTACAGGGAAATTTATAGCACTAAATTCTCACAGGAGAAAGCAGGAAGATCTAAAATTGACAACAAAAGAACTAGAGAAGCAAGAGCAAACAAATTCAACAACTAGCAGAAGACAAGAAATAACTAAGAGCAGAAGTGAAAGAGACAGAGACATGAAAAACCCTTCAAAAAATCAATAAATCCAGGAGCTGGCTTTTTAAAAAGATCAACAAAATAGATAGACTGCAAGCCAGACTAATAAAGAAGAAAAGAGAAGAATCAAATAGACACAATAAAAAATGATAAAGGGGATATCACCAATAATCCCACAGAAATACAAACTACCATCAGAGAATACTATAAATACCTCTACACAAATAAACTAGAAAATCTAGAAGAAGTGGATAAATTCCTGGACACATACACCCTCCCAAGGCTAAAGCAGGAAGAAGTCAAATCCCTGAATAGAACAATAACAAGTTCTGAAGTTAAGGCAGTAATTAATAGCCTACCAAAAAAAAGCCCAGGACCAGATTGATTCACAGCCTAATCCTACCGGAGGTACAAAGAGGAGATGGTACCCTTCCTTCTGAAACTATTCCTAACAATAGAAAAAGAGGAACTCTTCCCTAACTCATTTTATGAGGCCAGCATCATCCTGATACCAAATCTGTCAGAGACACAATATGAAAAAGAAAATTTCAGGCCAATATCCCTGATGAACATCAATGCAAACATCCTCAATAAAATACTGGCAAGCGGAATCCAGCAGCACACATAAAAGCTTATCTACCACAATCAAGTCAGCTTCATCCCTGGGATGCAAGGCTGGTTCAACATACACAAATCTATAAAAGTAATCCATCACATAAACAGAACCAACGACAAAAACCGCATGATTATCTCGATAGATGCAGAAATGGCCTTTGATAAAATTCAACATCCCTTCATGCTAAAAACACGTAATAAACTAGGAATTAATGGAATGTATCTCAAAATAATAAAAGCTAATTATGACAAACCCACAGCCAATGTCATACCGAATGGGCAAAAGTTGGAAGCATTCCCTTTGAAAACCAGCACAAGACAAGGATGCCCTCTCTTACCACTCCTATTCAACATAGTATTTGAAGTTCTGGCCAGGGCAATCAGGCAAGAGAAAGGGAAAAAAAACATATTTAAATAGGAATAGAGAAAGTAAAATTATCTCTGTTTGCAGATGACATAATTGTGTATTTAGAAAACCCCATCGTCTTAGCCCAAAATCTCCTTAAGCTGATAATCAACTTCAGAGAAGTCTCAGGATACAAAATCAATGTGCAAAAATCACAAGCATTCTATACACCAATAACAGACAAACAGAGAGCCAAGTCATGAGTGAACTCCCATTCACAATTGCTACAAAGAGAATAAAATACCTAGGAATACAACTTACAAGGGATGTGAAGGACCTCTTCGAGGAGAACTATAAACCACTGCTCAAGGAAATAAGAGAGGACACAAACAGATGGAAAAACATTCCATGCTCATGTTTAGGAAGAATCAATATTGTGAAAATGGCCATGCTGCCCAAAGCAATTGATAGATTCAGTGCTATTTCCATCAAGCTACCATTGACTTTCTTTACAAAATTAGAAAAAACTATTTTAAATCTCATATGGAACCAAATAAGAGCCTGTATAGCCAAGACAATCCTATGCAAAAAGAACAAGGCTGGAGGCATCACACTCTGACTTCAAACTATACTACAAGGCTACAGCAACAAAAACAACATGGTATTGGTACCAAAACAGATAGAGACCAGAACAGAACAGGAGCCCCAGAAAGAATACCACACATCTACAACCATCTGATCTTTGACAAACCTGGCAAAAACAAGCAATGGGGAAAGGATTACCTATTTAATACACAGTGTTGGGAAAACTGGCTAGCCAAAACTGAAACTGGACCCCTTTCTTACACTTTGTACAAAAATGAACTCAAGATGGATTAAAGACTTAAATGTAAAACCTAAAACCATAAAAACTCTAGAAGAAAACCTAGGCAATACCATTCAGGACATAGGCATGGGCAAAGATTTCATGACTAAAACACCAAAAGCATTGGCAACAAAAGCCAAAATAGACAAGTGGGATCTAATTAAACTAAAGAGCTCTGCACAGCAGCAACAGCAACAATAACAGCAGCAACAACAACAAAACTATCATCAGAGTGAACAGGCAACCTATAAAATGGGAGAAAATGTTTGCAATCTATCTGCCTGACAAAGGGCTAATATCCAGAACCTACAAAGAAACTAAACATATTTACAAGAAAAAAAACACACAATTCCATCAAAAAGTGGTTGAAGGATATGAAAAGACACTTCCCAAAAGAAGACATTTATGCAGCCAACAGACATATGAAAAGAAGCTCATCATCACTGCTCATTAGATAAATGCTAATCAAAACCATACCATCTCATGCCAGTTAGGATGGTGGTCATTAAAAAGGAAAGAACAGATGCTGGAGAGGATGTGGAGAAATAGAACACTTTTACACCATTGGTGGGGTGTAAATTAGTTCAACCATTGTGGAAGACAGTGTGGTGATTCCCCAAGGATCTAGAACCAGAAATACCATTTGATCCAGCAATCCTATTACTGGGTATATACCCAAAGGATTATAAACCATTCTATAAAGACACATGCACACATATGTTTATTGCAGCACTGTTCACAATAGCAAAGGCTTGGAACCAACCCAAATGCCCATCAATGATAGACTGGATAAGGAAAATGTGGCACATATACACCATGGAATACTGTGCAGCCATAAAACAAGATGAGTGGATGAGTTCATGTTCTTTGCAGGGACATGGATGAAGCCATCATTCGCAGCAAACTAACAGTAAGAGAAAAACAAACACCACATGTTCTCACTCATAAGTGGGAGTTGAACAATGAGAAACCATGGAGACAGAGGGGGGAACTTCACACATTGGGGCCTGTCAGGGGGTGTCGGGATAGGGGAGGGATAGCATTAGGAGAAATATCTAATGTGGATGATGGGTTGATGGGTGTGACAAACCACCATGGCACATGTATGCCTATGTAACAAATGTACACATTCTGCACATGTATTCCAGAACTTAAGTATAATTAAAAAAAAAATTAAATTAGACCATCCTGGAAGCAAGGTAGTCTGGGAAATGTAGTCTTCATACTGAATGACATGTACTTAGCTTAAAAAATGTTTTCCTTTAAATAAAGGAAGAATAGAACAGATATTGAGGAACAACTAATAGTATCAGCACAGTGGTGAGTTGCACAACTGCTACATTCACAATGTCAATAGTAGGACTGCATTACTGGAAAGACCAGGCTCTTACAATCCTTAGATAAATCAAACAGGATTGACTTATGTAAGGACATCAGCACTGTCAGGACTCATGGCAGAGAGATCAGCATCTTTTTTTTTGTTGTTGAGATGGAGTCCTGCTCTGTTGCCAGGCTGGAGTGCAGTGGTGTGATCTCAGCTCACTGCAACCTCTGCCTCTTGGGTTCCAGTGATTCTCCTGCCTCAGCCGCTCAAGTAGCTGGGACTACAGCCAAGCCCTACCAAACCCAGCTAGTTTTTGTATTTTTGGTAGAGATGAGGTTTCACCATGTTGGCCAGGATGGTTTCAATCTCTTAACCTCATGATCTGCCTGCCTTGGCCTCCTAAAGTGCTGGGATGACAGATGTGAGCCACGATGCCCAGCCATCATCATTTTTTAGGACATAAAATGGTGAACACAAAATCCTTTCCAAGAGAAAATGCAGTTGCAGGTGAAAATATGTGAAAGCATAGAGGTCACATTAAATTTTCAGGAAGCCTAACTCATTCCCTCTGGACCCAGGGCATATCCTGTAGAGACAAAATAGGGTGATGGAATGAAAGAGAGTTGGGAGAGTTGGAGTGGGGGGTGTCAGGTAACTTATTAACAAGTATGTACAAGGATGGTGTCTAGGGAACTAACGTTTGAACAGAGACCTGAAGGG